TTGCACTTTATTATACGGTCGTCACACAACCAGTGGCATGCCTTCTCGACCAACGAATTGACAGTTCAGAGTATAGCAGTTCTGGGGCCCCATTATTGTATTTATCGTCCAGTCAACCCACCAATCAGGTGAAAGCACGCTTCCCCAGCCAAGGTGATGTCACCTGTCTGCCTGGCTGGGACGGCAGACTTTCGCCAACTTTGGCCGAATCCACTTGTTGCTTTGAGTGGCTCTTGATTGTCTCGTCATTATACTGCTGATATAATATCTTACAATTATAAATAAGTGATCAAGGAATACTCGAGTAAGGAAATCTACCCATACTGAGTTTGTCTTACTCTATTGATCACCACATTACTGACTACGCCAGGTGCTACAGTCTTCGAATTACTACCTGTACACGTAGTACAGGTAGCAATAAGGTCCTCGAAATCATTTGGTCTGGCATTGTCAAGGCAATCGCAGCGGAACTCGAAATTCAATAAATTTTGGAGCTTTTTTTCATATCAACTTAAATTTATATTAACTCTTCCGGATACCAATTTACACTGTATAATAAAAAAAATACGAAACAAAATCCCAATAAGTCTGCTGAATTATAAAGATACTTTCTATCTTTCATTCTGATAAATTTGATAAAGATTGAGGCCCTTTGGATGAATATACTGATATTTTTTTACGTGTGAGTAATTTTGCAATATTTCATAAAATCCGATCAGTCTTCTTCAGATTCTGAATCAGTCTCACATCCGTCATCTTCCTCATTTCCAACATATTTCCTATCCAAAATACCATTAAGATCTTCATCTCCACTTTTTCTTACTTTTACACAAAATATCGACTAATTCCTTCGTCGACAAGTCGTAACAAATCGAGTCTTAGGCAGACATTTTAACTATTTCTGCTGACAAAAATATCGATTGATTTTAAACAGATATCAGGAACAGTGTTAATTTTTACATTTTAGTGAAGTATGTACCGGTGGGTGTAACACACCGACCCGGACTCAGAGGACAGTCAGTGCCAGGCAGATTGGCACTGTAAAGTCAGTGCCAGGCAGACTGGCAGTGTGCAGTCAGTACCAGGCAGACTGCAGTGTACAGTCAGTGCCAGGCAGACTGGCAGTTGTGCAGTCATGCCAGGCAAGACTGACAGTGTACAGTCAGTGCCAGGCAGACTGGCAGTGTACAGTCAGTGCCAGGCAGACTGGCAGTGTGCAGTCAGTGCCAGGCAGACTGGCAGTGTGCAGTCAGTACCAGGCAGACTGGCAGTGTACAGTCAGTGCCAGGCAGACTGGCAGTGTGCAGTCAGTACCAGGCAGATTGGCACTGTACAGTCATGCCAGCAGACTGGCAGTGTGCATCAGTACCAGGCAGATTGGCACGTAACAGTCAGTGCCAGGCAGACTGGCAGTGGCAGTCAGTACCAGGCAGACTGGCAGTGTACAGTCAGTGCCAGGCAGTCTGGCAGTGTGCAGTCAGTGCCAGGCAGACTGACACTGTACACTTTACGAAAGTATCAACACACACTTAAGTGGTGTAACATTTTACAAATGGCGACTACAAAGAAAAGTTGATGCAGAGTGTCGATCTTTCTAAGAGAAATGGACAAATGATTATTTTTTTATTGAAGTCAAAAGTAAACCTGTGTTCCTAGTTTGTGGCGATGCGTCAGCAGTAATGAAAAAAGCAAATTTGGAGCGTCATTACAGCTCAAAACATGCTAAACTCACTGACTTGGGAGGCCAGATGCATCTGAATAAAATCAATGCTCTTCACCGGAGTCCCCTCAAGGGAGGTTCCTTGACGCTGGTGAGGGGCTCTTGATCTAGGGAATTGGATCTGTGTTCCAGTTCCTTGAATTGAGCCTAAATACCTTCTCTCTATCCTCCCAAGTGCTGTATAATCCTACGGGTTTAGCGATCCCCGTGATTATAATTATATCTTCAGTGGAGTTTGGAATCACAACAAGCCGCTGTCACTAGGCCTCGTTGTGACAGAGACAACGTTATTGAGCGAGTTAATCGCGAAGAAGCTGAGGCCTGATGTAGAGGGAGAGTTTGTCAAAGTGTTTGTGAGAGTGTTAGTTTGTCTCGGACAACCGTCTCAGATCGGATTACTAACTTAGGACAAGATATAGAAAAAACACTGAAGGATTCTGCAGATTCCCATTGTTTCTCTCTGGGTCGTGACGAGACAACGGACATTAATACATACTGCCCAACTGGCCGTTTTCGTTCGTGGGATAACTGCAGAGTTTGTCAAGTGAGAGGAACTGTTGTCACAAGAAGCCATGCATGGCACTACAAAAGGTGAGGAATTGTTTGAGAGAGTTGTTTTATCATTAAAAAAACCTTGAGCTAACATTTCAGAAGTTAAGTGGCCTTACTACAGATGGAACTTCATTCATGGTTGGCTCGCAAAAAAGGGTTAATTGTATTTGTCAAGAAAGAACTGAATCGTCTCCGTCGTGATCCAAGTGATTTAATTATATGCCACTACATTATACATCAAGAAAATCTCTGTGTACAGTAGTTGCGGCTCAACACTGTGATGTCAATAGTGTTGTGAAAATTTGTGTGGGCTGCCTCCAAGTGAGTCGCCTACCCTAGCAAACTCTGTTGACACCGAGCTCTGAGGTGGGTACCTTAGCCTCACAAGTGGCTTATAGGACAGATTTTCACAAATGATTGTTATTACAAGAAAACTCGCCTGCATGCACGTATAAAGGACTAACTTACTTGGTGTTGCAGCATATATCTTGATCTTCACTTCTCTAAGCTTAGCCTTAGCCCCTTTGGATTTCCCCTCAGAAACCACGTGCAACCGGGAGCCTTAATTCTGGGCATGCTCAACCTGTTGCAACCGGGCCCACAGATCGACTCACTCACAATCTCCCAAGACACTGGCCAGTAATCTACGAGATAAAGGTGAAGGTCTTGTCTTACTGTATGGGCCTGACGGAGGAGGTCATCTACGGTACATTGAGGTGCCTCTACCAGATTTCCCCAGGTCTCAGATGTGAAGACACGTGGGGGCGCCGTCTGCTGATCACGGCACGTGTTGTCCAGATGGTGTCTGTCTTAAGAGGGACGCTATTGTCTTTTAGACCCGCGCCTCGTCATACAAGCTAGGGCTGCCAGTTCTCCCTAGCTAACTTAACCTAGTGTTTGCCTACATTATCGGCCTATTACTACCTATGTTAAGGTCTTAGGTCTACATTATTATTATCTACAGATACCTTAGTAAACTAATATTAATATACTAACAGTAAAACTACCTACTCCTTCCCTGAAGAATAAATCTATAAATTAAATACATGCCTACCAAGAATCCATCGCCGACCAGAGAGAATGCTGTTTGTTAGGGTGGGGTATAAGGGCCATCCAGCCCAGCCGTCCCGTACGGCCATGCTGGATCTGTCCTGTGGAACTTTAGGGACCAAATAAATTTCCACAAGTGTCATGCATAAATTTTGTCAAAAGCAAAGGGCTTAACCAAAAGCAAAGGGCTTGACAGCCGCCAGTTTAAGAAGTTACTAAATGATCTTGAGTACGGTGATTTTATTTATCAATATGAAGTGCGGAGGCTGAGTCGCGGGAACATGCTCATAAGGTTTTACGAACTGCGGGATGAAATCAAGTAGTTCATGGAGATGAAAGGACAACCTGTTGGGGAACTCAATGATCTAGTGATCTATTGATCTAGCGTTCATGGTGGACATTACCAAGTACCTCACAAAGCCGAACGTTAAGCTGCAGGACCCCAACCAGCTTCTCAGCTCCATGATTTCAAACGTGAAATCATTTGAAGGTAAATTAAGGCTATGGAAAGTGCAAATCGAAAAGAATGACACGGTGCATTTCCCCACTCTGGAAGGACAAAAGCCTCTATGTCATTTAAATATGCTGGTGAATGTGCGAAACTAATTAAGGCAGTTAATGAAAGTAAACAAATGGAATTGAACATGTTTGTTACACCGTTCAATGTGGAACCAGCTGATGTGCCTGATAACCTACAACACGAAATCATTCAGCTGCAAAGCGATGAAGAGCTGAAAGCTAGGCACAACAACCTTCCGCTGTTTGAGTTCTATAAACGTTACATAAACAATGATGAATTTCCCACTTTGAGGAGACATGCATTGAAACATACATCTGTGTTCGGAACAACTTGCTGCTGCGAGCAGTTCTTTTCAAAATTTACCATCGCAAAGAGTCGACTGCGTTCCAGACTGACCGACGCAAACCTGGAAAAGCAGTTGCGAGTAGCAGCATCTTCAATACCAGCTAACATCACACGCCTCACCAAAGAGAAGCAGTTCCAGCCATCACATTAGGCGTCAGTTAAATCAATGTTTGACCAAATATAGCAGGCTAATTTTTAAGTTGATAATTTAGTATGGCCTGCGAATGATGTTATAAATATCCAAATGGTCCTTGGCAGGAAAAAGGATCCCCACCCCTGACGTAGTAGCAAGCATGTACATATGTCCAGTAATATTTTGTATAATACGGTTCTATACAGCTTTACTATAGCACGGTTTATAATTTGAAAGTTACTTAAATTTTTTGTTTAACAGTAGTGCGGTAAGGAGCTAAAATTTATTTTTTTTATTACATACGATTTTTTTTATATACGCAGTTATAAGTGGGAAGAGGAAACGCAACGAAGTCTGTGAACCAAACAACGTAAATGATTAACACTAGAAGAAAAACTTGAAATTATAAAGCACCATGAAAAAGGAGCATCGTAAGTCTGTTTATTTTTTAACTTTAAAAAGCGTATGGACCTCCATAATGTTGAAATTGTAGGTAAGACTCCTAGTGTTGATAATGATGCTGTTGAAAGGAAGCTACAAGGATGAATAGTTTTTAATATCGACAAAACAAGTTTGTTTTTGCAAGACGCCATCTTACATTTATTTCACAAACAAACAGCTTTATTTCTTTTGCAGTATAAGTGTAATAAAATATTAAGCACAAGAGAAAGCCACTAACAAGCGATGCATCGCGGTTTTACATAGCTGGGGACTTTTTCGGCACCTATTAACTACGCTATGCCAGGTATTCCTGTATATGAAAAGCAAAATCAAAGTTCTTTATTGACATTTCTTCATCCATCATCAGAATCTAAAATATATTACAATAAAATTGAGACAAATTTTCAAACATTTAAAATTGTTTCTGCTGTATAAATTGAGTAACTCACCTATGATAATTTACTCTATATAATTTATAAGAGACTTAAATTGGATCTGCCCATTATAAACGAGGTCTACTGAAGCACTTCCATATTCCTGGTGTCAGGGCTCAGGTAGTACAACCAGTAGACGACGTTGCAGAGAAAAAAGATGATTGGGATTCCCAGTTGACCAATCCGTTCCACCAGTTGCAACTGACACACAAGTTCTTTGGGAGGGGAAAATTCCAATTTGTCGTCCATGGTGGCTGCAGGATCCTGCCCAACAGTTTCAGGCGACGACGATGCTGTGGAGGAGTCCTGTCGTCTTTTGAAGCTCCCGCAGGTAACATAGTTGTCCCGGCGCCTACTGTGGCGAGTCTGTCAATTTACGAAACATGTACATCGAGTTATGAATATCAAAATGGTATATAATACCAACAGGTTGGTAAGACACATAGGTAACAGTTAGGCATCTTTAATCCTAAACGTTTCGCCTACACAGTAGGCTTCTGCAGTCGAGTACAGAAAGTAGGCAGGAGCAGTAGAGCTGTGAAGATGATGTAATCCGTCCATCACCCTTGTAGTTGAAGACTGAAGAAGCCTACTGTCTAGGCGAAACGTTTCGGATTAAAGATGCCTAACTGTTGCCCATGTGTCTTACCAATACATCGAGTTATGTTTATGGCTTGTCCACTGAACGTGGGTAGTGCAGAACACAATTAAACTAAACACCAATATCAAGAACATTTTAATCTCAAAGTCCTCAGTTGATTATGACGTCTAAGTAGCATAGATTTTACAGGTGTCAGGAGAAATTTGTCCTGATGAACATTATAACAATTACATGTGGAGGGAGAAAATATCAATTTAAAAAATTGGCAATTTAAAAAAGGCACTGCCCTTAGTGCAAGTCGAGACATGGGAAGGAGACAGGTCAGGCTCTGAACGTTCTCCCATTATACCATTAATATACGTTACCAAGCCAACCTACGTTTGTGATTTTACTCCAAACGCACCAATCGAACCCCCACGACATATAATGCAGAGCTTCAGGTAAAGACCAAGATCAGCATGATTTTGGTTCCTTAATGGGGTTTAAAGGCTATCAACTACACGAGGATCATGAAGGCTGCATAGGATATATACACCTCTGGGTGTATATATCCTATGCCCGATTTTGTAGTAATATACCTATTTATTTCTATATATCCATACTAATTTCTGACCACGGTATTACTAGAGTAACTAGATAACTAATTATTCTTATACAGTCCACCCTAATCAAATCTATAAATACTTTGTTAGGAATGTAATTATCGTGATGAACATAAGAGGCATGTGTGGGAGAGCTACAAGAGAGAATCCTCATCAGTGAACAAGACAGCTTAAATTTTGGACACTGCTTTATAATTAATCTCCAAAATGCTTATTGACATTTTAAAAATTAAATCAGCTGTTGCTTAATAAGGAACAATACAGGAGAAAACTGCCAAATTGTGTGTTTGTTAATTTGACTCACCACAGGTGTCACCTTGCTCACCTCCCGCTCTTTCTTCTTCCTCTGAATTCTGCAAACCAAAGAAGTTTGGTGAAGCTAGTTCATTCATTTACATAATTTATACCTATATTTACACGTCAGTCTCTCTATATTACCCCTGGGCCTGGAGTACACAGCAACCCCGAGGTAGACTTTCCCCTCCCAATTATAGCTGATGACTCTCCAAGTGAATTTTGAAATATAGTTTAAGAGACAGGACGACAGTTACATAGAGTAGCGTGTCACCATAAAGTCATTGTTAATGTGTATTTTTCTTGTAGATTAGATTTATTTTTTTTAATTTACGAATATTCTTACCATTCTTTGACCTTGGCTTTAAAAACAAGAGATCCAAAACAATGCATTAATAGGTCAAAAACCATTCTTCAAAAAACGCTGAACTTCGATTTGAGGTAAAATTTCAAGATGATTGATTAGTTGGTTTATTAGATTTGAAGCCTATCGACTACACGAGGGTAATAAAGGTTGGTGACACTTGTACACCACCTGGAGTTTACCTGGAGTTTAGAGTTCCGGGGGTCAACGCCCCCGCGGCCCGGTCTGTGACCAGGCCTCCTGGTGGATCAGAGCCTGATCAACCAGGCTGTTACTGCTGGCTGCACGCAAACCAACGTACGAGCCACAGCCCGGCTGGTCAGGAACCGACTTTAGGTGCTTGTCCAGTGCCAGCTTGAAGACTGCCAGGGGTCTGTTGGTAATCCCCCTTATGTATGCTGGAAGGCAGTTGAACAGTCTCGGGGCCCTGACACTTATTGTATGGTCTCTTAACGTGCTAGTGACACCCCTGCTTTTCATTGGGGGGTTGTTGCATCGTCTGCCAAGTCTTTTGCTTTCGTAGTGAGTGATTTTCGTGTGCAACCAGTGAAGGATATTGTTTTACTAAAATAGGACTGGAAGTAAATTTTCAGCGTAGATACAATGAGAAACATCTCTCGGCTTATAAACAGAAATACATGCTTCTCGGTGTAGACACAAACATACGCACCTGTCGATGAATACACAGATATACACCTGTCGGTGTATACAGAGATACAGGTAAATAATAAAAATAATAATGTCTTTATTTCTACAAGTACAAGTACAAGATATACAGACGATAGCTGACATCAGTGACATACTACTATATAGAAAGCCACTTGTTATGCTCCGCATTTCGGGCAAATTAGGTCAGTTTTGTCTCAGGATGCGACTCACACCAGTCCACTAACACCCAGGTACCTATTTTACTGATAGTGAACATAGACAACCAGTATAAAGAAACGCGTCCAATATTTCTACCCTCCCTGGGAATAGAACCCGGACACTCGCTGTGTGAAACGAGAGCTTTAACCACCAGGCCACTAGCTGCTCGGGAAATATGAGTCATTATGTGAATTCTCGAGCAATAAGGAAGTTGTGCAATGCAGACATTAATATTTTTCGTTGATAGGAAGATTTTTTTTCTTAATTAGACAAAAAAGAACCCAATCCAACCTAAATATTGAGTTAAATACATACTAGGTTAGGTTAATTTGTATTCTTGTTTACTAAAACAAAGCTATGGTTAAGGTTAATAGAGAATTGAGAACCTACAGCTACACGAGGGATATATATATATATATATATATATATATATATATATATATATATATATATATATATATAATATATATATATATATATATGTATATATATATATATATAATATATATATATATATATATATATAATATATATATATATATAAAATATATATATATATAATATATATATATATATATATATATATATATATATATATATATATTATATATATATATATATATATATATATATATATATATATATATATATAATATATAATATATATATATTATATAATATATAATATAATATATATATATATAAACTTTCTTCCCATTTGAACAGCCCATTTAATTTTGTGGGATTTACATTAACAAAATATACCAAGAAACTATGTAAATATTAAACAAAACCCTCAAAACTTTTTTAGCAATTTCTCATATAAAAAAGGGTCTGTTGCAAAATTATTGATTATTATACATAGATCCGTCAAGACAGAGTACAAACATTTACACATCTAAATAATATATAATACAGTCTGTGCTTAAATACTGACAAAGAAACTGATTCACAGTAAGAGAAAACGGTACAACTTAAATGGATAACTCACGTAATAACAACGGCAAATTGGAATAGTGTCAGTACTACAAGGACAATACATATGAACAACCAGACATCCACTGCTTTTACGTAACTCGTCTCGGGGCCCCTGTACCTGGAAAATGAAATGATTTATTGTATTAAGACAACAATTAAAATTAGTAACTTCATTTTGCTTCGCAATACAGGCATTCACCACGTCATCAAACACTGTACAAGCGCATATTAATTAAAGTAACTAGTAAAAGATACACTATTTAAGATAACAACGTATTGCTCCTTACAATGCCTACCCGTGGCTCGACTGGAAACGCACTTGCCTCACACAGTGTCCCTGGTTCAATCCCCGGCATGGGTGGAAATGTTGGGCATGTTTCCTTATGCCTGCTGTTCTGTCCACCTAGCATTAAGTAGGTATCTGGGTGTTAGTCGGCTGGTGTGAGTCGCGTCATAGGAGAAAAGATAAGACCCTAATGAATATAAGACAGTCCCCGATGACGCACCGACTTTCTTAAGTTATTCTAAGTAGCTAACCCCTCCGGGTTAAAAATCCGAATAAATCTTAATCTTACACTTCCCAGAGGATCCACTACATAATTCATACATGACATACACCACTCAGAGGATCCATTATTCAATGCATACATGATATATGTAATTTAGAGTAGACCACCACAGCATGGGCAAAACGTTAGGCATGTTTCCTTATACTTGCTGCCACTGTTCACCCAAGAGTAAGTAGGTATCTGGGTGTTAGCGGACTGTTGTGTGTCGCATCCTGGGGGACAAAATTACCTTAGGCTCCTAGAAATGCTTTGCATAACCAAGGGCTTTCTATAAAGTGCGCCAGTAACGACAACTAGATCTGTATCAGTTATATATGTACATTACAGAAATAATGATTATTAGTTTATTTGTTTAATATGCAATCCGTTCGAAACATACAATACCCAAATGATCCACTCTACTATGTATACCTCCCAGGGACCCTACTATGTAAATCATACGTGACAACCTCGAGGACCCATCATGCAAGGCGTGTGTGACATACACCACCCGGAGGACCCATCATACAATGTTTATGTGGTATCCATCACCTAGAAGACCCACAACCTCTAGGACCTACCCGACGGCAGCATACATAGACATGACGGTGAGGAGGGACGTGATAACAAGAACGGTGCGGCCGGGGATCACGTCTGGAGGCCAGAAGAAGGACGCCCATGCCACCGCTACGAACAACGCTGAAGGTATGTACACCGTCAGTACGTGAAGGGCGTACCGCCTCGCCAGTACAATCCGTGCACGTCCCATCGACGCCGGAGCTGAAGAAAGTTGAGTAATATTTAACTTGACTCACGAAATCGTAATGACACGATTGCAAACAAACCATACCACGGGCGGGGATAGAACTCGTGTTCAGAGTGTCTCAAAACTCCAGACCGTCACATTAACCACTGGACCAGCTAGCCACAATGATTTGTCCAACTAGGTATATTTCTACACCATAGGAAGGTTAGCATAGGCACCACTGTGACCACAAATGCAAGTTTTCACAGACGAATCTCCAGCAAGCACGGCCGTGACGAACTCTAGCTCAAGTCCCCTCAAAGCCGTCAACATGACTGGTCCAGTGGTCCAGTGGCTAACGCGACGGTCTGGAGTTTTGAGACACTCTGAACGCGGGTTCTTTCCCCGCCCGTGATATGGTTTGAGTAATTTATTTTTCATTAAGCATAACTGGGTATATCTGCAGTGTTATGCTGCCCTAAATTATGATTCTAGTCATAATTATAATAGTTTCCCCTGTAATAATCTATCCAAAAGTCTGGGTTTTATAGCTGAGGTAATGAAATTTGTCAACCTGAACTATGAGACGTCAGTAATGCGATGAGGATACGAGAAGCAAGAAGTGGAGGATTGGGGGAAATTTTTTATTAATACATTAATGGGAAACGCTAAAACTATATTAGTTATATATCGCCCAGAAAATGGAAGGCAATCATTTTTAACCTGTTCCAATTGATTGATCCAAGGAAGAGCGGGAGTTGGGGAGAAGGCTTGTGTAACAGGGGCTCTGGGAGCGTCCCGTCCCACTCCACAAACACTCGAGATTATGTTGTATGAGAATTAATTTCTTGTTGTAGAGAGTATTTTATTTCCCCAAGAATGGTACCTAACCATGACTCACGAAATCGTAATGACACGATTGCAAACAAACCATACCACGGTTTTGAGACTCTGATCGCGGGTTCTATCCTCGCCCGTGGTACGGTTTACCTAACTATACCACGGGCGGGATAGAATCCGCTATCAGAGAGTCTCAAAACTCCAGACCGTCGCGTTAGCCACTGGACCAGCTAGCCACAATAATGGCTAGCTAATGGTACCTAACATTTATCCACATTGACCTGCACCAGCCAGTTTTTGCCACCGCAATCCATAGACACTAACGGAAGGAGCAATTGGTGCACCAGTATTTGGTGGAGATGTTGTCCCACTCGACGTTGAACTCGTAGTTGGGTTGCTGATCATGAATGCCCTCAAGCTCTGACACCGCCTCCGGCAGCCACTCCAGGCGCAGGGCTTCCTCGCTGAACTTATCTGCGGCAGGAAGAACATAGTGAAGTACTTGCTGGTATTTATTTACGGGTTAGCAGCTGAAGGTTATTCATTAACTGTTAGAAGGGGCAAAATAAAACCTGTTCCGGTGTTTTATGTGCAAATAAGCAGATGAAGGTCATTCAGTTCAAACAGGTTACTAGTAATGAATTTGCTAAGATCTTCCAGAGTATTACTCGTTCATCAAAGCAAAATAATTAAGTTAGAGTAGCTGGAAGACGCTAATGAAAGAATCTCATGTATATGTCCCTCACATAAGTGTCTCCCAGCTACTCTAACAAAGTCTTTTTCTCTAATCAACTCAGTTCTCCCGTGGTTTTCCTGTACACTTAACTACTACTCATAGGGATATAAAAATTTAGGGCTCAGATAATATACGAGGGAAATAGGCTACAATGAACAGTGTCAACACAACACGGAATTCATCACATTACTCCCGGAGATCTTTTAACGCGTACTGAACTATGAAGTGACTTCACTTTTGTAGGAAAAGGAATTACTCAGGTACTGTAGTCTGATCATTCACGTTTTACCACTGAGCCTCAAGGCTGAGCCTGTCTCGCTGCCAAGGCTCTGAGTGAGCTTAGCCTCAGCTGCCGCTCTAGAATAACCTTTGCTTTTATTAAGTTCTTCCCCCAGCTTGAGCTCTACGGTTAGCTCTCTCTCTCTTTGTTTTAAAAAAAGAATACAAAATTTAATGGATATATATTATATATATATATTTTATATATATAATATATATATATATATATATAAAATTATATATTATATATATATATATATATATATGTATATATTATATATAATATATATATATATATATATATATATATATATATATATTATAAATATATATATATATATATATATATATATATGCAATAAGATCACAGTAAAAGGTGATTTCAAAATATGCAAAACAACCATTTCTGAAAGAATAGAGAAATTCCAAGCGCTTTCGTGACTACTCACATTATCAAGGAACTAGATAATGTGAGTAGTCAGGGAAAGCGCTTGGAAAATTTCTCTATTCTTTCAGATTTGTTGTTTTGCATATATATATATATATATATATATATATATATATATATTATATATAATATATATAAATATAAATATATATTATATTTTTTATATATATATATAAATATATATATATATATATATTTTATATTTTATATATTTATATATATTATTTTATTAAACACTGGCCGATTCCCACCAAGGCAGGGTGGCCCCAAAAAAGGAAAAATTTTCCCACCATCATTCACTCCATCACTGTCTTGCCAGAAGGGTGCTTTACACTACAGTTATAAAACTGCAACATTAACACCCCTCCTTCAGAGTGCAGACACTGTACTTCCCATCTCCAGGACTCAAGTCCGGCCTGCCGGTTTCCCTGAATCCCTTCACAAATGTTACCTTGCTCACACTCCAACAGCATGTCAAGTATAAAAAACCATTTGTCTCCATTCACTCCTATCAAATACGCTTACGCATGCTTGCTGGAAGTCCAAGCCCATCGCACACAAAAACTTTACGCCCTCCCTCCAACCCTTCCTAGGCCGACCCCTACCTCGCCTTCCCTCCACTACAGATTTATACACTCTCGTTCCATTTTCTCTATATGGCCAAACCTTCACCTCTCTCTTATCTGATGCTTCTATTCTCCTTGTGTCCCATCTACCTTTTACTCTCACTATAGTTACAATTAAAAAGTGATCTGATATATCTGTGGCCCCTCTATAAACATGTACATCCTGAAGTCTACTCAACAGTCTTTTATCTACCAATACATAGTCCAATAAACTACTGTTTTTACGCCCTACATCATATCTTGCATACTTATTTATCCTCTTTTTCTTAAAATATGTATTACCTATAACTAAACCTCTTTCTATACAAAGTTCAATCAAAGGGCTCCCATTATCATTTACACCTGGCACCCCAAACTTACCTACCACACCCTCTCTAAAAGTTTTTCCTACTTTATAGGTCCCCTACCACAATTACTCTCTCACTTGGTTCAAAATTCCTATACATTCACTTAACATCTTTCAAAATATCTCTCTCTCTGCTACACTCCTCTCTTCTCCAGGTGCATACACGCTTATTATGACCCACTTTTCACATCCGACCCTTATTTTAATTCACATAATCCTTGAATTTACACATTTATATTCCCTCTTCTGCTTCCACATTATTGCTACCCCTTCCTTACCTCTAACTCTCTCAGATACTTCTGACTTAATCCCATTTATTTCCCCCCACCGAAACTCCCCTACCCCCTTCAGCTTTGTTTCGCTTAGGGCCAGGACATCCAACTTCTTTTCATTCATAACATCAGCAATCATCTGTTTCTTGTCATCCGCACTACATCCACGCACATTCAAGCATCCCAGTTTTATAAAGTTTTTCTTCTTCTCTTTTTTAGTAAATGTATACAGGAGAAGGGGTTACTAGCCCATTGCTCTCGGCATTTTAGTCGCCTCATACGACACGCATGGCTTACGGAGGAAAGATTCTTTTCCACTTCCCCATGGACAATAGAAGAAATAAAGAAGAACAAGAGCTATTTAGAAAAAAAGGAGAAAAACCTAGATATGTGTATGTATATACATGCATGTGTGTGCCTGTGTAGTGTGACCTAAGTGTAAATAGAAGTAGCAAGATATACCTTTTTATCCATCATGTTTATATATATATATAATATATATATATATATATATATATATATATAATATATATATATATTATATATATATATATATATATGTATGTATATATATATATATTATATATATATATTAATATATAATATTATATATATATATATATATATATATATATATATATTTTAAATTAGGGAGGTACCACCTCTAGAACTGTTCTGGGGACCCTCATCCTTAGAGAAAAGAATAAACTTACTTCAAGGAAAAATCAAGGTTCCCTGAAGCTGTTTGAGAATTTTCTCCTACCAGCCCCTATATTTCAAGATGTTTATTTAAAGACAAAATACATTGACCAAACATTCACAAAAATACAACAGAAAGTAAAACAACATAGGTAACTCAAGCTACATCTCGAATACTTCGTCCAGCTCCCCTGCGGTGGGCCGCGGGCCCAGAATGCTGCAGGCATTTCCTCTCTGGTCGCAAACACTGAGTCTCTGAAAGAGGAAGCTGGTCGCTCTGTGGTCCTTGGTTTCTATGATGAGCTTTTCACCCAGCTCTTTTGAGGAACTTTAGAGGGAACTTGGCCCATGCTCCAAGGGTTTCCGACCCTATAGGGAAAGAATTTATAGCAAGGGGGAAGGTCTTCATATTTTCGGATCTTCTGGGTCTCCCTGTGGCTGGCAGCTCCACCCCCTTCCACTACGGAGTATGACAGGTAGGTGTCTGCCAATGTGGCGGCACAGGTGAAGTCCCAGGCAATCGGTTTTCCATCCTTCCAGGGTAGCACAGTGGCTCCATCAGGACGCTTTTGACTTCCATCAGACCTCTGTACTTGGGGTTCCCGTT